ACACACACACACACACACACACACACACACACACACACACACACACACACACACACACACACACACCTACCTCAAAGAGCCACTGGGCAATTAGCACTACCCCACCTAAAGTCTTTTGATTTGCATACCAAGTCAGACAGAATTCATATCAGTGTGCAGCAAGTGTGACATGGTATACACAAGCAGAACACACACACACACACACACACACACACACACACACACACACACTCATCTCATTTCTCTATTCATAAAGCCTTGATTGCTTTACACGAGATGAAGTCAGAATAACATGGCAGAACAGTGGATCAGTGGTTATCAGTGTTGCCTCACAGTAAGAAGGTCCTGTGTTCAATCCCAGCTTTGGACCTGGGGTCTGTCTGTGTGGAGTTTGCATGCTCTCTACATCCTTGTGTTAATTTACCCCAGCTTCCTCCCACAGACCAAACATATGCATGTTTAGCTGCCTTCAGGCCCAGACCTCTCTTGCATGAGAGATCTGTGATTTTAATGGGTTTTACCTAATTAAATTAAATAAATAAATAAATAAATAAATAATAACAAGTAAAATGAAAAAAGAGACATCATGCCACGAAAGAAAACGTATATTTTAATATCCTTTATTGTCCCTCAAAAATGTTATTCAGGGTTCCCACACCTTGGTCAACATCAAATTCAAGGATCTTTCAAGGACTTTCCAGTACCAATTTCCTCAAATTCAAGAACCACGCGCAATGGCAATTAACTACTGCTACCGCAGAATGTTACCAATAAACAGGCTTAATATCATGTAAATTCAATGAAAAACTGAACAACATAGAAGTTGTTGAGTCAGAAACAATGACGTCAGTTTACCGTAATCCTGAGTTATCCACCGCAACAAATGTGTTTTTTAATTTAATTTTATAATTTATTTTTTTGAAAAGATGATGAAAATCTGTCGTGTGAATCGAGAATTTCAATCCCCAAAAACATTCAAGGACTTTCAAGCACAAGTGTAATTTTTGGCTGTTTTCACAAACTTTCCAGGGCCTTGAAATATATATATTTTTTCAAATTCACAGACTTTCAAGGATTTCAAGGACCCGTGGAAACCCTAGTTATTGTCTCCATATGTGAAGCACACGGATATGTTTAAGAGCCTTGATCAGTGGCCCAGAGTGTGGCAAATGAGGGTTTCCTACCTGCAATTTTTTTTGTTTGTTTTCAGTCCAAGGAGTAGAACCAGCAACCTGCTGCCAATCTCAGGCCCACCTTCTCTAACCTCTACACCACCACATCCCCATTATATGCTGAAGTCATTTTGTTTCCAGCTTTGTGTCACCCAGCCCTTTCTGTCACTGGGCCCCTGGTGAACTTCTTGCTCTTCATACAAAATGATTGTGTGATTGGTCTGAAGTTTGTGGACGTGTTTGTTTATGCTGAAAAGCGCTCAAAAGCAATGGTGGCGTTTTGCTTCAATTATTTTGCTTCCAGCAGCTGTTTGTGCAAATGAAGGAAATTAACAGAATTTTAGACATTTTGTGTTCAATTGCAGTTGTTTGCTTTAAACTGAGAGATTCAGCAAGTCTCTATCAATGTGTCCAACTCTGTAACATCAACAAAGCTTGTTCACGTTAAAGTTACCACCCCAGGAAGTGACTAGGGTGTCCTACATGTAAGACTTCAGGAGAGAAGAGACTCAACTCGCACCAGACACAGTGCTGTTGAGATGGTCTTGCTTTTATTTGCTGATAAGACTCAGGGTCACTCACAGGTGAGACAGAGGCTCTGAACAATGACATGGGCTGTGTCCAAATCCAGAGGCTGGGTCCTCCGAAGGACCCAGCCTACCCAGTCTAGGT